ACACACCATCTTTATGGGGCGCGTAAGAGCACGTGGTTTATCCTCTGGGGCTCTGTTTTATATTTCTGAACTCCTCTCGTCGAGACCTTGCTCCTGGTATGCTTAAAATCTGATTTCGAGCAACTTGATTTCTGGGCAGTTTCGAAAATCACACTGTTTTTGTTTCGAAACGCCGCCGACGAGGCTCTGATACCACTTGTTGGGATCGAGGATTCCGCCCAAGACCTTACAAAAATCATACTAAACAGAAAAACACACCCACATAGAAGGAGACACCATATTTAATGTGGTTCGGCCTTAAAGCCTACATCCACAGGAGAGTAACCAGTTATCACTATAACAATAGAGAGATTACAGAAAGATTACAATGGAGGAGGAGCTCACACTCTCTTCACTCATCCACTCACCTGTCTCCCTCGCTCACACCAAGAGAGACGGTCTCTCCGCCTCACATCTCTCACTCTCTTCTCTCTTGGTTCTCTCTCTCAATTTCAACTCTCCCCTCAACCTCTATTTATACACCAATGAGAGAGAGCCTCATTGGTCACCACCTACCCCCTTCCACTCTCTAGTGGGGTTGGAGTGGGAGAGCCGCTTCCATTGGGAGGAGGAAGTGGGTTCTCCAATGGGAGCTCACATGGGATGATCCAACAGTTCTATGGCAGCAAAAGAATGAACAAATGGTAAACTTGAACAGTAGTCTGTAGATTAAAAGACAAAAGCAATCTCAAATCTTGTGGCATCACTGGTGTTGATGAGTGCTTAAAAAAAATCAGTGGAGGGAGTGGAGATAAGTATAGATCTTTCAGTAGCTTGTCTAAACTGTGACCTTGGCTTGCATTACGGTTCTGTTTTTTCTTCCGAATTTTGTTAATAATTGTGGAATAGTTGGAAGTGTGGTATAGGGGAAGGACATAGAGGGCTTTTACGTTTGTCGACATAATTAGTCCTGATTCAAATTTCAACAAAACCTTTAGCACCTTCACATGTGTGAAACTTTTACAGGAGGTTGCTAGTTAAATGATGGATAGAGTGCATTGATCTATTTTTCTTTCTGGAATCTGTTATTGTATAGTGGTGGTAGGAATCTATTTGGAGCACCTTTTATTGATTTGAGGAGAAGGAATCAATTGTTATTCAGGTAGTGAGCCGGAAGCAAAGAAAGACACCATATCTTTAATTTCTTTCTGTTCTCTGATGTGCAGGAGTGTAATCTGTTTATGTGGGTCACTTTTATGCTTGAAGTATACCTTATCTGATTTAAATGATTACTCAAAATTTGAACTCATTGGCTGCAGTCCTTGGAAGTAAAAAATAGATCTACAGCTTTTTCCCTGTGAGAATTTTATGTGCCTGAGTGGATCTGAAATCACAACACAGTACTTTTTTGGTTATCCAGCACATGGTTCTTCAAAAATATGGAATGAAAGAATTGGCTAAGAGTTGCACAGTTCTTCATTGTATGTGTTGTTATTTTTGTATAGAAGATGTAACACTTTAATGTGCACTATTTGGGCATTGTTTTTAAGATGTGACACTTTGGATTTATGTTACCCTCTTTGAGCCAAAATCCTGCCTCCGCAACTGCATCAATTACCTTCATATTTACTGTTGCCACTGTGAATTCAAGTATTATCAGTGTCAAGACTAAGTTTGCCAGGGCCGTCCTTAGTAGATTCTTGCTGGAATTTATGGTATTATCCGTAGTAGGCAGTGATTTTTTTTTTTTTCTTTCAAGCATTGAACTCCTGAATCTTCAAGCAATCCTTGAAACCTTACCTGCTTTGGATCTTTAATAAGCAATAATGGCCCTTAACAGGGGAACATATTTGGGAGATCGTTAGAAAAACTTCATCTACAACCTTTTGCTTCCATTTTCAATTTGGGTTTCATATATTCCTCAGTGACATAATTACCTGAGAAGTCGGACAATATTCTTCTTATTGGCTACCATTCTTCACAATCACGGTCTAAAATTGACCGACACAGACACTTGTTTTATACTTCTTTTTCTTTTATTAACTTACAGAATGCCATAAAATAGAGGTGTAAAATTTTTCCCTCTAATCTACTGATAATTGAACTTTTTCCCTTTAGTATATGTGTGTGTGCATGTTTGTGTGGCAACATTCTTCTAACTCTTTAGTTTGGTCAAAGAAGACACATGTTTTAGACTTCTTTTACTTCTATTAACTTACAGAACACCACAAAATAGAGATGTAAAAAATTTCCTTCTAATCTACTGATAATTGAACCTTTTCCCTTTAGTTTATGTGTGTGTGTGTGTGCACACATTTGTGTTTTAACATTCTTCTGACTCTTTAGTTTTACTACAGTGGTTTTGCTGATGTGTTTGATGTGGATTGCTTCATTCGACAGATGAATGGCTTTGTTAATGTTGTTAAAGAATTGCCAGCAGAGATTGCATCAAAAGAACCATTCCACTTGGATTGCAGCAAACACAAAGGCCAATTTGATTACGTCGAAAGTGTTCTCCCTTCTCTATTGGAGCATCGTTATATTTCAATCACACCAGCTATGAGCCAAAGGAGAGATAGGTAACCATATTGTTCTTGATTGAACAGAAGGTTTCATGCTTTGGGATGCCTTTAATTTTTATTTTACTTTATTTCAAGAAGATCCATTGACCAAGTTTAAAGCTATGATAACAGGGCTGAAATAGTAAAAGGTGTTGGCTGAGGGATTCTATGCTGCATTTTGTGGGTATATCATGTTTTTGGTTTTGTTAGGTTTACAAAAAGTAGAAAAGTAGTAAAGTAGTGAAAGTTGGTTCAGCACCTCTTGCCCTCTTTGGTCAATGAAAGATTTATGTTCCTCCAAATATCTAATAGGTTGTGTTGGTTTTCTTTATTGGATTATATGAACCTTGGTTCAGCCTTTATTGTTGAATATGTGTCATAGCAAAGGCACAACATATTCCTCTATCTGTAGCAGTTGCTTCTTGATGAGTTGGTTGTTCTTCTTTGTGTGTGATGTTGTTTTAGTCCAATGATGGTTTTGTTATTTGTTTTCCAACTGGCAACTTGGAAAAAATAATGAAGTTATGTTTTCCGAGGTCCTTTCTGATGCATCCCTATGTTTTAATATTGTAGATATCCTCTGAATGCAAAGGCTGCCCTTTGTCAGGCTTGTTACAATACAATATGCCTTACCAGAGCCTTGGCGAAGAAAGGCTCTGAGCTTCTACAAGCCATACCCAAACCCTTTCTCTCACTTCACTTTCGGTTTGAACCTGACATGGTAGCTTATAGCCAGTGCAACTATTCTGGTCTCTCTTCTGTTTCCATGGAAGCCATAGAGGCCGCACAGGGAGATCGAAAACCCTGGACTGGAGAAGCTGCCTGTGTTTGGCGAAACCGTGGGAAATGCCCCCTCACTCCTAAATAGACTGCTTTCATCCTTCAAGCTCTTTCCAGCCCAAAAAACACAAACATTTATTTGGCGGCCGGAGATGGTCTTATGGAACTTGGAGGGCTAACCTTTGTTTACACTAATTTTTTTTACAAAAGCTACATTTCTTAGTGGTGAGGACTTTACAAGCATGCATGGGAACACAAAAGCTGCACTGGATTATTATGTATCGATCAACAGCGATTCATATGTGGCCACATATTTTGGGAACATGGATAAGATGGTTGCGGCATTGCGGGCTTTCAAGGGGTTGTTTAAAACTCTTTTCTTGAGCAGAAGGGCTTTTGCTGAGTTGACTTCTCAGGGCTTGGAGGGGAGGGAGTTGATGGAAGCACTTTGGAAGGGGCATAGAGATGATTTTTTGATGGGAAGAGGTTCTGCTTTGCCCGATTGCATTTGTGAATTCAAATTATGAGAGGTCATGTTTCTGTTTTTTCATAAATTTTAAGCTTTGCATTTTTGTTTTTTTGTACTAGTGATGGGTGAAACATGTATAATTTTCAATTGTAGGAAGTGTCACCCCTGCAATTTGTTCATGCTAGTTCAATATTATTCACTTTATTGACTTTTTAACATTTGTTTTACCCAAACGTTTTACTGTGGGCAAATATGGAGATGACATGAAAATTAAAGTAATTCAATTTTTCTACTGAGGAATTCATTTTTTTGGTTCTAATCATAGGAAATATCTTTGTTTATTAGTTTATTTACTTTTTGTTTAACTTTATATATATAGCGGTTGCATTTTGGAATAAAAATTAGGATAAATTATACTGTGACCCACTATATTGATTTTCCTTACATTCCGAATTGCATAATATTTTATTCCACAATTACATATTTTTTTGTTTGGTCAGAATAATCCTAATATTTTGGTCTTGGATTAGTAATTAGTACTTTATTAGAAGATTGTTAATTACCACTTTTTTTAATAGAATTTCAATTCTGCCCCTATACTAATTATTTTAAACAGATATAAAATTATGTATGTGTTAATGAGTAAAGTGATGAATGGTTAAAAGTGTATAATTATTTTGTTCTTTTTAATCATTAATACACTTTTATTAAATTAAACTCACAACTAAAAATAAAATGAGGGAATTAATTTAATAAAGTGTTAGAATTTACCTACACCTACCACCACCTACTACCACACCTACTACACCTACCACCAATTTACCCTCACCTACTCCTCACCTACTACCCAAACCCTCTCCTATATAATGAGCCACTCTGATTTGTAATATAAGATATCAATAACAAATATCAATCAATAATATACATCAAATTTTACATAAAGTGTATTAATGATTAAAAAGAATAGAATAATTATACACTTTTAACCATTAATCATTAAGCAAAATTGCTTGTTTACTTGACAGCTGTTTGTAGGAGATCATTAATTTAGTTGATTTTGATATAAAGTGATCTTTTGATAAATAAAAACACAAGAAAGTAATTTAATTATCCAACTTAACACTCGTAATATATAAATTATGTTAAACCAAAGAACTTACTGTATTTGTCCAAATCTTGAGAGATTATTTATCAGAGAGAATCTTTTCTGTAAGTTGCCCATATATACAATAACTGGTAAATAGAAAATGGCACCAATTCAAAGAAAGTCTCATCATACTCCAAAATCAAGAGTAATTCTGGAGCCATTTGGGCTTGAAACCTCTACTCTAGAATCACATTGCAATCATCAGAATCACAATGAAAACAACAATATATAGGCATGCGATTCAGCTATTGCAATAGGCATTTGACAGCAGGTTTAGTATGGGTAGATCTTCCGTGGGCATTGAGACAGTTCGCATAAGTCTTCTTCCCTGGAATTGTGGAGGCTATGTACACACAGTCAAGTGAAATGTCGGTGCAGCCGCCGCTGCCACTCTGGCTGCAACTCAGATTTATCACCTCATCTGCAGTTGATGTCCCCATAATTCCAGAGTATGATATATCACTCAGTTCAACTGCTGATGTCTTCACAAAAAAAGATAATATATGAGCAAACCAACTTCTAATTAGTATTTACTTAATTCTCTATTAGGCATAACTTGAACATTTGTTCTATAAAAATTGTGAAAAGTTTATATTGTGTTCCAATTCTTCTTTTTCAATGGGTAATAAACATTAGTGTATGTTACAATACATTGATGCGTGTCATAAGATTTTGAATGTTGACCATTACAACTATCGGCCGATATGTATTGGTAGGCCTATAAACAAGTTGAGTATAGGTTGTTCAAACTTAAATGACCTTTTTTTAGCTCGATCTAGAACAAGCTTTTAACGAGTTGAGCTTGTTTTACTGCGCTACTATCAGTCTGAATCATGATTCATGTATATTTCAACCAATTGCACACTTCCTTTTCTCTTTTTCTTCTAATTTCAGAGACTTTGCTGATGATTTTAAAAAGATTATGTTCATATCACCTAATTCCCATATGTTCCGCTCCGCCACATCACAATCAATACTTATTCGTTTTTTTCTGTTATCGCTATTTAGAACAATGTTTGTGCATGCAATGGTTGAATGAGGGAGATGTGTGCATATTCTTACTTTGTTTTGGCAGTCGACTCGACTAGGACAATAGAACTGATCAATTAAGATGGGATTATTGACTTGGACCAGCGTAATATTCTCAAATGAAACCTTCCTTGCATACCCATTTCCTCCCTGTAACAACAATAATTACCCGATGAATTAATTAACCAAAACATAATGAAAACAAGAATTTTGAATAATTAAAATTGAAGTTGTTTAGATCCCCAAGTAATAACACTACAGGGTTACCTGCCAAGTCTAAATTCTCACACCATTCATAGTTCCTTTGAATGTACAATTGCTCACATGAATTCCTTCCACTCTGTCATACCCTCCGTGCCCCAAGGCCCCAATGCTGCATTGAAAGATTACCTTTTTCTTAAACATGATCATTGTAAATGTTACAAGAAGTAAAGAATCAGACACAGGGTAACAATATGCTCCTTTGTTCCCGTCTACTGGAGGTATTCTGAACAGGAATCAATTGATTCTTGATGAAGCTAAGGCTGTATAGAAAGAACCTAAATCGCTCTAGAGGATCCGGACTCGTATGGAATGAAAAATGGGCAAACTACTTGGTTTGGATTGGAGTAATGACGGGAAAGGTGATGAAGTTGTTAGTGGGATTGTCGAACTGGAAGAAAATTGTATGACTTTGCTTCACAAGCAGGGCAATAAGCACCAGAATCAATGGCCCTACTGTTCTATTTAGGCACTTCATTGGGTTTTCTATTTTTCTTAATGAAGGTTATTTTCTGGAATGTAGAGGTATTGAAAAAAGAAAAAGAAAAGACAAAAGAGAAAATGGTTAGGCGATTAATTGCTTAATGTGTTGGGGCATTGATTGGGTAAACACCCTTCTCTTTGCAGGTAATATTAGATTTCTATTGATGTACTTTTGACACTCAATTGTTTATCATCAATAATATTTATTTTGTTACCAATTTTTTTTTATTTTTTTTAAAATTTATTTTTTAAGATAATTTGTAGTAAAGTTTTTTAAAATTTAGATGGAGAGATGAACAAAGGCAAAAAAGGGCCTTGTAACCTGATACCATTTCCTGGTCTGCATGTTACACCAGTGATATTAACATTTGATGAGCCCCGACTTATAGCAATGCAATCATCACCTGTATATTGTTCAACAACAAAGTATATATATATATTTAAATAAAAAAATTTATAATGAAGAAGAAGCGGAATCATACATGCATGATAATTTTCAAAACAAGAAAAGAAAAGAAAAGAAAACAAGAATGCAACCTGTTTTTATGTTAGAGTTGCCGATTTGAATGTTAGTTGAACCCAAAATGTCAATGCCGTCAGTGTTAGGGCTTGTTTCAGGGACTATTACGTAAAGGTTAGAGATGAATACCCCATTGCAATTTTTCACTGTCATGATTTCTCGGGCTGTTGATATGTTTTAGTCCATTGAGTTGAAGATCATTACGTCTATCAAATGTTAGTGCCTACATGCATGTCCGTCATCAACAAATATACATACATAAATATATGTAATGTATACAATTCTATATATGACAATAAAAAGATGAAAGGACTTGTTGTACTTACAGTTGGTCCATTACATTTTGCACCCAGTATGTATATACATATGTGTTAAGAGTTTGCCCTTGTGACTGTGATAAAAAGTTACCAAAGTGATGATCACAGAAACGAGCACAAAAGGTATATAAGATTGGGAGGGCATATTTTTTTAGAAACGGACTGCACTATCGAATCCAATAAAATTATGTCTATTTATGTAAATTTTTTATGTCCGTTTCTATGTTGTTATGGGCTTGTTTCAGGGGCTATTACGTAAAGGTTAGAGATGAATACCCCATTGCAATTTTTCACTGTCATGATTTCTCGGGCTGTTGATATGTTTTAGTCCATTGAGTTGAAGATCATTACATCTATCAAATGTTAGTGCCTACATGCATGTCCGTCATCAACAAATATACATACATAAATATATGTAATGTATACAATTCTATATATGACAATAAAAAGATGAAAGGACTTGTTGTACTTACAGTTGGGCCATTACATTTTGCACCCAGTATGTATATACATATGTGTTAAGAGTTTGCCCTTGTGATTGTGATAAAAAGTTACCAAAGTGATGATCACAGAAACGAGCACAAAAGGTATATAAGATTGGGAGGGAATATTTTTTTAGAAACGGACTGCACTATCGAATCCAATAAAATTATGTCTATTTATGTAAATTTTTTATGTCCGTTTCTATGTTGTTATCTCCAATGCACTAGGCATATAATACTTGTTAGTTAAAGTGCCTAGTGTGATTCACTTTTTTCAATTCCAATGCACTAGGCATATGATTAGGCATTTTGGCTCAACTCATATTCACTAGCTACATGTAGCTAGCCTTCAACGCTAGGCAAAATGTATTTAATCATTAGGATCATTTCCCTCCATCTTTATTGTTGACGTGACATTCTATAAAATTAATAGTATTTGGATAAATAGCTAAAATAAAGAGCATGGTTGGAGTAAAAACATAAAACAGTTGATAGGCAAAATAAAGTATATACTTTATAGTAATATTTGGATAGGTAAAATGCCTACTACCGTTGGAGATGCTCTTAGAAGCCAATAAACAAGGTATATATTGATACGAGGCTGGCTTGCTCCCACTACAGAAGAAGGAAAAAAAACAATTAGTGACAAAAAAAGATTCAACAGAAAGTCTAGAATTTGTCGCTAAAAGTATTGGTGACAAGTTAGAGACACGATGCCTAGTCAGTGTAAAAATTTTACTATGAAAGTACAAAAGTCCCGCCAAAAATGCTTCTTTTCATCTAGTGTTTAATTTGGCTTATCTGATCCATTGCGAGTCACATTACGATTTGTTCATAACATTTAAGAAAAAATATTATATTGATCCAATAATGGTAACCATATGTATCATTATCTTTATCTTACCCAAAAAAACAAAAAAAAAATGAAGAAAAGAAGAAGAAGAAGAATGATACTTGTGATTTTGAAAATGTTCTCCATATTTTGATGATAAATATGGTGAAATTACAAAATTATGATTACTGAATTTCGGGTTCGTTTGAGAAGTAATTTTTTAAATGGTTTTTTAATTAAAATATGAGGTGAGTGTATAGTGTTTGAGAATTATTTTTTGATTTTTTATGAAAAAATGTATAGAAAAAGGATGAAGTTTTTGATTTTTTTTTTTTATATAATTTTATGAAAATTTTAGTAACTTTTGAGCTAAAACCTCACATTCCCAAACGAGACCTTAATCGATTTTTTTTTCCACAAATGAATTACAAAGAAAAAGAGCTACAAGATGAGTACTCACTGACATTTTGTACATTCTGTTGCAAGCAAGGTAGTGGCCGCCAAGCTGAGCCCTGACTGTCGATTCGTCGTTGTTGTCCAATGATGGAGAGTCCATTGACATTAGAGAAGGCGAGCCACGTGTCAATGTGATGCCCAATCCATGCCCATTTTGTGTTGGGTGCAACAAGGTTTCCTAAAACCTGTGGACAGATAGACAGACACATAGACTCAGAAACTCTCTCCAAACTTTATAGTTCCATTGATGAGTGAGTGAGTTGATGATGAATGATAATACTTTTGTTTTGTTAACAATGTCATGTGATGAAGATGTGTCTCATTCTTGTCACATGCAGTTTTTATGAGATTTGGGATAACGCACTTCTTGTAAGTTGTAACACAACCTTTGAATGAGTTTTGACCAACTCTGAAGAATCTTCAGTGAATCTAGGGAATGATAAATATAATACATAGAGCCATAGACCTCAACTTATTATAGTTGATTGAGAAGAGAGGTGAATCAGAAATTGAGAAATGCTATTTATAACTTTTATTTTTTTATGAGAAATGCTATCTCATTAATTTTTTTGTCACTATTTCATATCACCTATATAGAACAATGTATTTTTTTTAGAGTATGTGTCAGAGTGTTTGATGTAATTTTTGTTTATAGTTTATGAGACAAAAATAGCTTAAATAAGTTGAAATAAATTGATTATTGGAAGTTAGGACATGGGTGGTTTTAGTCTTATTTTGAGATTTTCAACTTTGAACTTAAGAAAAGTATAACCAAATAGGCTAAATGATTTATGTAATTCAGCTTTAAACCTACATTCATGGGGAAGAAAGAGGAATTTTACTATAAAAGTAGATAATATAATGAGTTGTTTCTTTCTACAACTATTTGTTTACGGATGCATCCGAAGTCATAAAACCCCATAATGCTAAAGCAATCCATTAAATAGCAAGATTTGATTAATACTAATTCAGGGTTGAAATAGTCACAATACTAAAATTGGAGCAAGCCAAACAATCATGTAATTGCTGGGGTGACAAGGTATATTTGATAAGAACTTGGGCAAGCTAGGAAGGGAATTATGAAAGAAGATAAGATAGAAATGTAAATATAAGAAAACTTCTTCTTATTATGTTGATTACAAGTCAAGATTCTTGCATACATCAATTTACAATTAGCTTATGGCTTTATATAGAGAATATCACCATTTTAACCTCTTCTAGAAAGGTTCCAGAAATGTTTGATATTTTCCAACATCATTATGATACATTTCTAGATATTTCTAACATTATTAAAAATCTAGATAGATTATTTCAATCTACTAGATATTTTTAGGTAAATATCTCCATAAATTATTCATTAATTACTCTAGATTTTTCTAGATAAATATCTTCATAAATTATTCTAGATTTATCTAGATTACAAATTATATTTTAACAGTAATAAATATAGTTCAAGATGAATTCAAGACAGATTCACAACGAGAGAGATGTAAAATAATTATATAAATGTTCATGAAACATGAAATAAACACAAAACAAGCTACAACGAAGGCAATTATTAAAAATCTAGATAGGTTATTTCAATCTACTAGATATTTCTAGATAAATATCTTCATAAATTATTCATTAATTAGTCTAGATTTTTCTAGATTACAAATTATATTTTAACAGTAATAAGCATAGTTCAAGATGAATTCAAGACAGATTCACAAGGAGAGAGATGTATAATAATTATATAAATGTTCATGAAACATGAAATAAACACAAAACAAGCTACAACGAAGGCAAGAATTAAGGAAATAAAACATGCATGTAATGCATTTTGTTCCAATAAATAATGATTCTCATCATAATTTGATTGTTCATGGCAGAGTTACTATTATTACCTGCACATAGATGTTAGAGGATTTGCATGGGCCGCTGAAAGTTGCTGGCTTCAACAAGAATGTCATCCTAGGTATGACGAGGATAGGAACAACTGACTTATAGCTTGACAGATGGCTTTCCACGCTTTCAGAAATGCCTTGGAATTATCAAGAAAACAATGGATTAAAGATTTTCTTTCAAACAAAACAATTCACTAGTTGGACAACTTTTGTGTGTTTCCGAAAAAACGGGTTGTTTTCGAAAGAACTTTTCGAATACAATTTTCAGAAACACTTTATGAAACAAGTTTTAGGTGTTTTCCAGAAAATAAAAACTCAACCAAACATGTAGTATCAGCCTGTTGTATATCTAGTTCTGTTCATATATAATTAATTGAGGACACGTCAATTTTGAAGATTTTGTTATTGTACTAGCCAAATGTGTTCTCTTGAAATCTCCAAAGCTAAAACATTTATGCTGTGTTTGGTTGGGGGATTTGGAAAGGGAAAGGGAAGGGGAAAGGGAAAGGGAACAGGTGTGTGAAACTAGGTGAAATATAGACATGTTTTATTCACATTTCACATACCTTTTCCATTTTTCTTTCCAAATTTCTTCCCAAATCCCCCAACCAAACACAACAAGAAAAAACTGTAGATAAACAACTGACATTTGAACTAGAAATGTGTTTATTATGCAAGGTTTACAGAGAAATGAAGCTGAAAAATTCATGGGAAATCAATATTTCCAAAAGAGATTTCGCTCTTCTGCATCTCACTTTTGCAGCAAGTGCCCCCATGGCATCTAATAGTGTACACGCACGCGAGTACACGGTGTGTGTGTGTGTGTGAGAGAGAGAGGGGGGGAGAGAGAGAGAGAGAGAGAGAAGGTCGCTACTTGGGAATCATCAGTTTTTCCAT